TGAACGAAATTTGCTGAACCATCGTTGCCACTTACGAACGTTCAAAATCATAAGCTTCTTTGATATTCTTTGAGGCTACAGAGGCTTTGTTTCCCTTCTTGGATTCAAACATCTTTCGTTGCTGTATGTTTGTCTCGTCGTGTGCCATCACTATAAGGGATTAGAGTATACTAAATTTTGCACATTATATAGGCTACACCAACGTGACGGTTAGGCGGTTAGTTTAACTATTATACGTGATGTACGTTTTTGGGGGATGGTTAATGAAAGTGTTCCAAAACGCGCCAATAATTTCTTGACGATCTAATATGTTTAACATGTTAATATGTTTAACACTACTGTTATATTCCTTTGCTATTACATATTCTGATCTTCCATTTGATTGATTTCAATAAATACCTTTAATTTTAACGCATTGGAAGAATACATAATAGAAAAATATATGTTTAAGAGCACATTCTCAAACACACAGAATGAATCAGGTAAGAGACGCCAATGTTTCGAGAGTGTGTTCGGCAGGATATCGTGAGCTCGAACCTTGGATCTCACAATATGCAGCATTGTACGTTAACCGCTGACTCAAAGCGTAAAAAAAAAGAATAATAATTATAACACTTCAAAAAGTCAGGAACACGTTTGGACTAACTTTTAAAATATTTTCATTAATTCTAAAACATATATACAATATATTTTAAATGTCTCTTTCTCTCTCTCTCTCTCTCTATATATATATATATAGATAGATAGATACAGATGTTATATAAAATACTAAAATCATCCCACCTTTGTGCTCCAGCTTTTGGGGTCTATAAGAGAGTAAAATGTAACCATATGGTAATTTAACTGTCCATTAATTATTCTATATCATTAAGTATGTCCATATACGAATATTATGTTACTGTTTTTATCAGAGAAAGGTTCTCGAAATGTCAAGTTTAAAAGTTCTGTCAAGTTTCCAAAGAGCCATGATTCTTTGTTTGTTTTTAATTATGCACAAAGCTACACAAGGGCTATCTGTGCTCTGCCCGCCACGGGTATCGAAACCCGGATTCTAGCGTTGTAAGTCCGCAGATATAC